AGCCGCACAGGTAGCGGGGCGCAGCCCGGGTTGGGAGGGTTCCCTAGGCCCGGCTTCCCCCTTGGGACGGGGCCTTGGAGGGCGCCGGGCACCCTCGGAGCAGCGGAGCCAAATGCGCCTCAGCTGCTTTGTCCCTCCTAATTCCCCGGCTGGAGCCCTTGGTAGAGCTGAGTGATTTAACTCACAAAGTTAGGCATATACAGTGTTGTTATTTTTAACGTTCACGTTTAAAACATGGTGTTTTATGCATTGCAGGAGGTCCCTACTGAGACCCTCCTGATTTCCTTTTCAAAAATACCGGCAGTCATTTTCAGTAGGCGAAAATTTCTCAGATAAAACTGCCCACATAGATAGGTTCTTTTCACTGAAGAGTCTTTGGGGGAAACTTGGAAGTGGGAGGTGGGTTTTGTGTTCTTGAATGAGAAGACACATTTTTCTCAAAATGTGAGCTCTTTCTGTATCAATTTTACATAAACCGAATGAAAAATCAAGGTTTTAACATTTTTGCATGACACCTGCTTTTACTATTGTGATGACATTTCAAATAATTTTATAATGGACTGAAAAAATACTGGCTTCTCTAGATATTAAAATGTGCTATTAATTTCTATAATTGCTTACTAACAGCTGAAAATACAGATAAATGCATGGAACAGAATAGGAAATCCAGAAACACTGAAATGATATAAGATATATGTAAGGATTGATAACGCTAACAGATATGAATAGGAAAGGATGAATTATTAATGAAAAAATGCCTGCTCTTTGAAGAAAACTAATGAAATTTTATATCACAAACATGAGTTCCTGATGGAACACAGATTGAAACTTTTATATATACAAGTGAGAAAAGTATCAGAAGAAAACAGAAATGCTTAGTTTGCAGGTATGTTTTATGTTAACAAAGGCCTTCCTAAGAATGACCTCAGAGGCAGGCATTCTGAAGGTTGATTTAGCAAACTAAAAATTAAAACTGCCTGTGTATCAGAAAAAAAAGAGAAAATAAAGAAAACATACTTGAAAAGTATTTACTATATTATATATATATATTCAGATGAGAAGTGTGTTTTCATTTTACAGGGAATTCATTATATATCATGTGATATGTATACTAGTATGTATAGCATATATTACATATATAATGTATATCAGTTACATATACAAATTAGATGGAAAACTACATATATACACATTAGATGAAAAGTGCATCTTCATTTTATAGGAAATTCTTTCAAATCAAATAAAAACTCTAATAGAAGTGGTCAAAGAACTTTTTTGCATATTTACAAGTTACTTATGCACATAGGAAAAAATCCTTTGCATTTCTGGTGTAAGAGTTTAAATTAAAAGAGGAATGAAACTTTTCTGTCCACAATGTGTGTGAGGATGTTTTGTACTGCTGCTTAAAGTTTAAGTTGCTGATGACTTTTTAAATAGCCAATTTGGTGGTATATACTACATTTAGAAAATGTATATACTCTTTACCCATCAATTCCATTATACTAAAATGCCCTTAGGAAGTAGAGATACATGCACTTTGTTTTTTGCAGCACTTATTTTAAAAAGAACAGATAGAATGAATTCTATAAATAAATTTCTATTGCAGCCATAGGATGGAATAATATGTGACCATTTAATAATATGTGACAGTAGATACAAAAGTATGTTGATGTGCGAAGATGTATTTTGTTATAGCCGGCAAGGAAAAAAGAATCAGTTTGATTATACATACACACAAACATACTATGGTCTTGTATTAACAAAAAATGTGTACAAAATATAACATTTCTAATTTCTGGGCATTTGCATTTTAAGTAAAGTTCTTATCTGTGATTGCTGCAGTGAGCATGTACAACACTTCTAGTAAAAGTTTATTATTAAAGGAATAGTTCTTGGGAAGAGGAATATGAATCTTGCCCCAGATAAAAATAATCTCTCACTTTCTGTTTATCATCATCATCTTTGAACTTTTAGCTGCTTCAGAATAAAAAGGGAATATTTTATCTGTCTCCAGATTTTATGTATAAACATATATTTTTCTTACATGTAGAGTTATCTCATATATGCAATGATAGATTAATCATTTCATTTTACTTGTATTCTTTGAAAATAAAAATAAATATAAATAAGTGATTACTATTGCAAAAATACTGCTTTATAGGAGTTTATTTAAAAATATTGAACTCCCCATCTGTATTTATCCATTCTTTAATTCAATTTATTCATCAAACATAACCTGAGTACCTATTATGTGGCAGACATATACCACTATCTCTCAGGACCCTTCCATCCTTAAAAACTTCGTGTTTACTGCCCTGTCTGCACAAGCAGAGAGATTTGAAATGGGGATATTAAGACTTAATCTCATTTAAACTTTATATCCCATCTTTCAAACAGAAGAATTTCTGAAGTTAGAAAATAGTAGAAGATAACCTTTAACTGCCCTTTCAAAAGTTTATCAGTCTTAAACACTAATATTAATCATTGAAAAGTCTGATTTGCATATATTCTCTAAATATAAAGTATTGAATAAAATGATCCATACCTATTCATTTGAATCATGAGTTTGCTTTGGCTTCAAGTTGTTTGAAAAGTCAAAGAATTAATTTGTTTAAAAAATATGTTACTGTTATTTCAGTGTTCTTTCCCCATAGTACCTTTAAGAACTGAAATGTATTTAAGTGCCAGTTATATCCCTAGAACTGCCCTAGATCTGCTGAGTATACCATATGCTACTTAATGTAAAAACTCATGGATTGTATGATGCCCCATTATTATATATGTCGATTTTAAAAATACTACCAATTATAGTTGTAATAAAGCATGATTTATAAGTGGCATTCAAATATCAGGGGTGTTAAAATGTGACCTACTCTTTAAGTCATCCTACAAAGTAGGTATAATTGTATTATTTTACTTAATTAAAATGTTTTTCATTTAGGAGTATAATAGAAATAATCCTAGGACTCTGGGAGGCTGAGGTGGGAGGATTGCTTGATGCCGGGGGTTTGAGACCAGCCTGAACAACAAAATGAGATTCTTACTCTACATAAAATTTTAAATTAGTAGCTGGGCATGCTGGTGCACACCTGTAGTCCCAGCTACTCAGGAGGCTGGGGATGGAGGATCGCTTGAGTCCAGGAGTTACATGCTACAGTGAGGTATAATTACAGCATTGCACTCCAGCCTGGGCAAGAGTGAGACCTTGTCTCAAAAAACAAAAATCTAACAATTTTGAGTTGTTGCTGTAGGAACTATTTTAAATACTTTACATAATTTCTCATTTAGGCATCATGATGTCCTATGAGATAGCTATTATTGTTGTTTTTATTAATGAGGAAGTTGAGGCACATAAAGGCTAAGTAATAGCTGGTAATTGACAGAGTTTAAAGTAGGACTGAAACCCTGGTTGAACTGAACCCAAAGACTGAGCTCTTTCTATTCAAATAGGCTGCTGTCTTCATTAAGGTAGTGAGCAGTAAAAGTTAGTACATACTGTACTTTCTTGAAGAAAAATAAGAGGAAAAACACGCTATTCAATCTTTACAATTACGTGAATGACAATATGTTTTGAGATACTGCACTTCACTTTCCTAAAGGTCCTCTTACTCTTGTACTACTGCTCTACATTTGGCCTGTGCCAGTGGCTGTGTGGATGTGGTCACTCTCCTGGTGAACAGAAAATGCCAGGTTGACATTTGTGACAAGCAAAACAGAACAACTTTAATACAGGCATATAGTAGCCAACTCTTTCAGCATGACATGGGTTTGATTTATATATATATATATATAATTAAAATAAATTTATCTTATTTAAATATAACTAGTTGGTGAAACCTGTGGAATGTGTATTTTGCATTCTTAGAATTTACAATCTATTTCTTGATCTAATATGGACAGGCTGTACATTGCCAGGAAGACACTTGGGCCATCATTCTGCTGAAACATGGCACCAACCCACACCTTAAGGATATCTATGGCATCACTGCTCTCCATTATGCTGAGTATGAGAGTATGTTACTGGCAGAAAGACTGCTTTCTTGTGATGCGAATATTGAAGCAGTGGACAAGGTATAAATCAACTTTCTTTTCAAAATATTTGTTTTAACCTTGACTTAGGTAAGGGTCCATTTTTTGTATTTGGAAGCTCAAGCATTTGAATGCAAGCAAATTAAGCTATTTTGAAATAACTTAATTGTCTAAAACTGTATTTTAAATAGTGATACCTTAAAAGAAGCCAATAAAGGGCATAACTTTTTAAAATACACTTTGGAAAATATTTGTGAATTTCTTAAAGGTAAAACCTTTTCAATTTTTTTTAAATGCAGGGGTTTTTTTTCCTAATTAATGTAAAACAACAGAGGAAAGAAAATATGCTCTGAAAATAGGCTTTATCTTAAAACTCAAACAAAACTACAGCAACTTAGAATAAATAGACATCTTGCTGCTGCTGACAATTTTCTAAAAAGCTGATGTATCCTCTCTCAGTGGTGAGGCTTAAGAGGGAAAAATGGGAAGGAAAAAGGAGAGCCATCAGGAGTATGCAGGTCACTTGGAAATTAGGTAATACGGGAAAATGCCAAGAAGAGTTTTTTTAGTTTGTTCTTCCAGTTTATGTGTTGAGACAAGGTGCTCTTTAGCTTTGGGACCAATAAATTTTGATTTGAAAAAGAGAGTGCGTTGAGACTTGCCTAGAGATTAATTTTAGGAGGACTCTGAGGAAACCATATAGGCAGTGAATACTTGGTGACAAAAGGAGAAACACTTCAACAGAAGATGAAACAAATTATTAACTGAGTTATTACCCATCCAGGCAGAAACAGCCACTTAGATCTAAGAGTCTAAACTTTCCTCTCAAATCTAGAATGTCTTGATGGAAAGGTGGGAGATAAGGAGCTTATTAATAGCAAAATAAAGTTGGATTTTGAGTTTATTTGTCCCTGTTCTCATATCCGTGAAAATTAAATGTAGATTTAATAAATGACTCTGTTACTCTTTTCTTTTTTTGGCCACATCTACAACTGATAAAGGGAATTAGCCGTGTGGGTGAGGGATGAGACTGAAGTGATTGCCTGCTGCACGAATTCTCAGAATTGTGCATTATAGTGACCTGAGCTAATTTTGTTAAAAATCTAAACTTTTAGGCTTTCCCGTGAAGTTTTTGATGTAATAGATCTAATAAGGCTTGAATGTGTATGTTTTAAAATGTTTTCTTGAAGCTGGGCACAGTGGCATGTTCCTTTGGTCCCAGCTTGAGCCTAAGAGTTTGAGTCCAGCTTGAGCAACATAGTGAGACTCTTATCTCTAACCACAATACCAGCAAAAAAAAAAAAAAACCTTGAGGTTTGGATACACTCCTGTTTAAGAACCCCAGAATAGATAAGTGCAATATATACATTTCTGTATCTCAAAAAAGGTTAAAAAAATCTCTAGAAGAGTTGGCATTTGCTAGGTACTACTTTCTTCAAAGTTCTCCTTTCAATAAGATTAGCCTGACTTAGCTGCCTTTCTCTGTCTGTGACTGGGAAGTAAAAGGGAACATTATTGGCAGTATCTCTCAGCTCTCAGGATGACACCTTTTTTTCCCCACCATTAATCATTCACTGCCATTCAGAGAGTCTTTAAAAATTTGCTTATAAGTAATCTTTCAATGAGAAGAGGCTGACTCTTTAATGATTTCATGCCCCTTTGTCACCACATAGGTGATTATGTGTCAACAAATATTCATTACAAGTTGGGTTTTCTCAATTAAAATAATAGCCAATCCTAATTTTTTTTTTAGTTGAAGTTGTATTATGAACTATCACAGTATGTCTGTTAAGTTTATAGATCTTTAATATAACCAGGATGTCAGCTTTACACACTGAAATCCATGAAGCTGATATAAATTTGATATACATCAAAATTCTTTTGATTAAAAGAATTTCCATAGAAATTATTTTAATAATTTAGTTTTGGCAGTCATATAAACTATTTGGCTAACAATCTGGGAAAATTGTATACAAATAGATTGTAAATGAATACATGTTGGAAAAATATTAAAGTGGGTATTATGAGTCAATAGCAATTTTTATTATATATGAGGGCCTGATTTTTTGGTAAAACATACAATACTAGAGAAAGGAAATATTTTACATGCAAATACTTGGATTATACACAACCATTTAGTTACACATTCATAGCAAATATAAAAACAAAAGGGCTGTATTCTAAATGTGCACAGATTTGTTTGCCTCTATACATTGAGTCAACATGTAAAATTTACAAGTCTTATGCAGAAATCTGGACTTCAGACTTGTCCTAAAAAATCAAATATGGTACCCCCTGAGTTTCTTTCACCGTTGGCCTGCTGTGCAGAGGTAGCTCCTTTATAAAAGGCATATATTCTCCAGTTTGCTACTCTGCCCACATCAGTACGTTCCTTACTCAGATCACCTTCCTTTGTCCTTGTATTTGAGTTTACAACTCTTATGTTGTAGTATATTTTGATAAAGATTTCAAGGCTTTTAAGTCAGTGTGTATTTGTCTATAACATATAGTCTATAGATTATATAAATCCCTCAGTTATGGGGTTGAATTTTAGAATTTAGTTTAAAACTCTTTATCTATACCACAACTAAGCATCTTCCCATACGAATGCCTAGAAGTTTTTCTTAGGTTATTCCTGGTTATAGTTGGATAGTTTAGGAATATTGCAGCCATTATATCTTTCTCCTCAGCAATCTTCCTTAAAAATGCAAGTGACTTACTTCTTTTATTATGCTAGAAATAACCCATAGGGATCAGTAACTTTTACTGATAAGCCATTATATTTGTGTTTGCGTTATATTTAGCCTAAAATAAAAAATAATTTTAAATAGCCATTTAAATGGAAACCAGTAAAAATGGATTTAAAAGGTAGAGTTGCATTAGGGTCCCAGCATTACCATTACAATTGAGAATAGAGTTTCTTACTGAGCATTGTTTTTTTTTAATAATTATTTTTAAATTTTTTAACCGTCTCTCTCATACAGAACATACTGAGCTTTATAACAGTTAAGATAACTCTTGTATTAAAAGAAACCCACAGACTGTTTAATAATATGGAAAATATGTACATTTGAAGCCAATCACTGTTAATTCAGAGCTCACTTCCTTAGTGGCCCATTTGGAGCAGGAGTGCCTGACATTGGCATCTGGGATCCTAACATCATTGATAGAAGTGAATCAAGCAAGTTTGTACCACCCAGAGGAAACCTCCAACTGTATCGGGAAGCTCTGGAAACTGTATCTCTGAAACTCTTAATTCCTTAAATGTTCATATTTGCCACAAAAAGTATTGCCAAATGGGTATTAGGTAAAGTTCAAGAGATTTCATGATTATTGGTTATAAAATACAGTTTTGTAATACTTCTCATATGCAGATTGTCATGGAGTCTTTCTCTTGGGGTACAACAAGCAAATATTCTTTGGAATATAGCTTAAGAAACACTGCTCTAGAGATAACAATTTAGATCATTAATTTATGTAAAAAACAAAATATTTGCTACTATGTTTTAGGTTTTGGGGGCTGTAGAGATAAAAGATACAGCCCTTACCCTCAAGAAGCTCTTGGTTTCAGAGGGAAACAATGAAGTGATTACAATATGCCATGCTAAGTGCTGTGATCAAAGCAAGGATTCTTGGGACTGGTATGTATGAAGGGAGTTCTGGCGATGACCACAGTTAATGTGGGGAGGCAGAGGAGGGGTGTTTGCAAGGCAGAGAGCAGCACATCTGAAAGCACAGAGGAGTGAGGAGGAAGGGACTGGTTTTCATTATTTCCTTTCTATGTTGTATGTTGAAGTTCAAATATCTTACAGAAGATTTTTAGTTCATTTGAGAAATTTGTAATTTTGCGAATTTTTTTTTTTTTTTTTTTTTTTGCTGTTTTATAGGACGGGAACACCACTTTTATTTGCTATAATTTACAAGAGACAGCAAATGGTGGAATTTTTAGTGAAAAACCAAGCAAATGTACATGCTGTTGATAGGCTGAGATAGTAGTTCTTGTTTAAAATAAAAACCTGAGTGTTCTAGAGTAGAGTCACTCAAGTCAGAAATTAATAAAATTAACATAATTATTGGCATATGGTGAAAAATATCAGCACAGATAGGTAGAAAAGCAAATATTGGACTAAGCAACATAAAGAACATAGAGTAGGATTCATTTTCACTTACAGAGTGTTTGTTATTTGTGATCTGATGTTTTTGGTCTTGTAATCTTATATTAGCTAAAGGTTTTTGTATTAGTTTTATTAAATTTTGAAGTGTGGGCTTTTAGTTTATGACTACTAGTATTGCATTATTATTATTATTATTATTATTATTATTTATTGTTTTCAGGCTGTAGATGGCCCTTATCTGACTCCTAGCTGATATGAATTACAGTATATCAGACTAGGAAAGCAATGGGGAAATCTTGATTTAAATCTTTGCCTACTTTAGATAAATGACCTCAGCACAGTTTCTTGGCCATCAAGGGACTATAAGTTACCAACTTGTATTATGTCATACCCCAGGGGAACAAGAGACTTCCTTGTTGTCCCTTTTAGCCTTGCTGATAATTTACAAAGATGAACACTTGAGCACCCAAGATGCTTATAGACACAAGCTAGTACATGTAAACGGTTAGTATGTCTACATTGACAGGCAGGATATTAAATTGATAAAGTGTATCAAACTAGCTGTTTAGTAATGACTTTATTAAAGTTCTTGAATGGAGTTGTTATTTTAGAACAGCCTTCATGCTTCCTGTACATTATGGCTTATCAGGTATTGTCAATATTTTTCTTCAGCAAAATATTAATGTCTTTACTCAAGATATGTGTGTATGAGATGCAGAAGATTATGCTGTTTTTCGTGGTTTGACAAGGTGTTTGTATTAAAAGTCCGGTTAATACTAAATTGATGTTTAAAATAATTGCAACCGTTGAATCTTATACATTAGGTGAGAGTTCATAGTTTGGTTCAGGTAGTTTGAAATAGCAAGAGTTAGTCCACTTTTTAGCTAGAAATCAAGCAGAAGGTAGGATTAGTTAGAAGTAGAATGCAAGATTCTTTCAGGACTTTTAAGACCTTTATCCCTAGGGATCTCAATGTGGTTCATTTTATTCTAAGTATAATCCCCATGCATCAGATAAAAATAGAGCCACATCTTTGATTTGTTTTCTTTTTCTTTTTTTTTTTTTTTTCTTTTATTTTTTTTTTTTTGTAGAGGCAAGGTCTCCCTATGTTGCCTAGAATGGTCTTGAACTCCTGAGCATAAGTAATCCTTCTGCCTCAGCCTCTCAAACTGCTAGCCACCATGCCTAGCCTGACTTTTCTAATGAGTTATTGGGTCTTGAAATGTTCAATTTAGCAGAAAATCTTTTATTGTCACCTGGGACTATCTCCTGTACCTTCCTTCTTTGAATTTTCCAAGAACCTAACGTGTTTTCTAAGTCCAAGGAAGGAAATCTTTCTTTACAAGTCAGAATGGGGAAAAAGGCCATTCTAATTATTCTGTTGTTTCCATGGATTCACTTGCTGTATTGTTGCCATTGTAATTGGTCCTGCAATCTGATAATGATTGACCTTTGCCACAAGGATGCACAGACCCCTCAGTTTTCATGGTGATTCATACATAGGGTTCAAGGCTACGGTGTTTATTAGTTTATGTACTTATGCTCAGCCATTGTTCCCAGCACCCTGCTCTGGGAGCCAGGCCTTCTAGCTTTACCCACACAAATGGCAAACTGATGCTTCCCCTACGCTAAAAACATTATTTGGAGCCCACATCTTATCTAGACTTAGCCGAGGCCTTCATGGTAAGTTATCCTTTGAGACCCCTGTTGGTCTTTCCTCTAACAAATATTGGTTGAGATTGTTCCCACCAGTCAGAGATGTTCAAATAATGTTGCAGGAAGAGATTAGAGTTCCCTTTCCCTTTTGCTGACAGATTTGTATCTTGAGACTTCTTTATATCCTGTGCAGCAGCTTTGGTTAGATAGCAGAAGGTTCCATGTTACCTGTCCACAGAGCAGTGGGAACCAACTTGCAGTTGGCCCCGCAGATAATCCATTTCTACAAGAATAAAAATCTCCCAGGCTACCTGCATATCTACCTCAAGTTTTAAATATATTTTAAAGTTCTACCTCATAGGAAGCCATTCAATAAAATTATCTGAATCTCAGGCAGGTGATTTGGATTTAACAGAGCCATCTATGACTCATGAATATCCATGTATAAAACAGGGCTTTGTACTTGCTTCAGCAGCATATACTTTAAAATGGATCAATACAGAGCAGATAAGCATGAACATGGCTGCTGCCTAAGGATGGCACACAAATTCATAAAGCATTCCATATTGTGCAATGACCCTGGAAGGTCATTTGACTATTTTTTGACCAGCTCCAAGGAAGCAGTGTGAGTCAAACCAAAATTGGAGATACCCGATATTAAAATTGTGATAATCACTATATAACTATTGGTGTATGGTGATCTATGAAATGAGAACAGAGCTGAGTAACACATGGGATGTTACATGCAAATATGTTATTAGTACATGTCTTGGAAATGGGAAAATGTCAACTTGCATTTCCTTCATAAATCTGAAAAACAATGAAAGCAGGGTTTTTTCTTGTCTGTTAGTTGGAGCGGACCATGGAGATTCAGCATCCTGGCACAGATGTGCTGGCTCAGAGTTTGAGGAGGTAGAGAAGGAGTGGTGGTTGTCCAAGCCAGGTGTTGACATCTGTTAATTTTCTGCTCTTGGCGTGACTGATGAGCTCAGTAATAGGGGACAATTATGTTATCTATTTTAATGATAATATATTTATATATAAATTTAGTTATGAATTACCTAAAATGCCCTGATTTACAAGCCACAATAAATACAACTAATAAAATTAGCACTTAATAACATTTTATGAAAACTGCAACATTCACATATTAGAACCTATGGAAAAACAAACATCAAGCTTTATTTGGGACTCCAAAATAGTTTCAGCAATAAAGTTCAAGAATAAATTATTCCATCGCTTTACTATTTCTCTGAACATTTAAGCAAGTAATCTCATTACATCTTCCTAACAACCTAGTGAAGTAAGGCAGCAAATCCTTATTTTTTAGAAGAAACCATGGAGCCTAACAGAAGCAACTTGTCTGAACACAAATACCTACTGGTTACAGAGCAAGGACTTGTTCTGAGTGCAGGACACTGTGCACAATTTCCAGCTAACTATAGTTAATTTACTAAGCTGTGCTCCCTCCATTCATGAGTACTTCACTTTTTTTTTTCTTTAATTAAAAGGTTAATAAACTTGTAAAGCTTAAAATTTTGAAGTGTATGGGACAGAAATTAAAGTTCTGTTATTAGCGCTGATATCGCCTGAAATGGTTTAAGAACTTATGTTTGGTAAATATTTTTTATTTTAGTATTAAAATAACAATTTTATTTATTAGTTTTTATACCATAGAATTTGACATCAAATTTTGGAACATAAAAAGAAGACACTTCAATACAAGTAAGACTTCTGATAGTAAATTTCTCATTTATCTTGTTGGTCCTACTCTTGATAAAAAAGAAAGATGTAAGATTAAGGTAGTTTTAATGGTAAAAAGACCAGTTTAAAAATATGTGTAAATTGCAAGTATATATATGTGTATATACATATATGTAAATTAATTTTCAAAATTTAACTTCTTTAGTTTGGAATTCAGAGTTATTTAAGAAGGTAGTTGTATCTATAATCTGAAACAGTATTGTCTGAAAAAAAATCATTTACTTAATTACAATCCCAAAACTTCTGTATAATATTTTTTGCATAAATAAGAAAAAAGATTGTCAAGTTGGTATGTTTTATGTTTTCTCTAAGTCACATTATAACAAATTGAACTTGTTATACATAGGGATCTTCTGTTTCATTTTTATAATAAATTGTTTGTATTTAGTAAATAAATAGTTGATCCATGAATCATGTGGAGGTCAGGGACTCTAATCTCTGTGCAGTTGAAAATCTGAGTATAACTTTTAATTTCCCCATCTTAGCTACTAATAACCCACCATTGACTGGAAGCCTTCCTGATAACATAAACAGTCTATTAAAACCTATTTTATTTGTGCTGCATTATTATATATTGTGTTCTTAAGTAAATGAAGCTGTTAAACAAAAATCATCAGAAAAAATATATTTACTTTTCATAAAACATAAATGGATCCTTACAAAGGTCTTCATCTTCATTATCTTCAGGTTGATTAGGCTGCATATAAGTAAACCCCTGCAGTTCGAACCCTTGCTGTTCAAGGGTGAACTGTATTATGTATTAATTTGTGTCACTAAGAAAGTAACTATCTTTAGAACTGGGAACTCAGCAATCCCTTTCTTGTACCATAAGTAAATGGCAATAAGAACTGTAAAATTGAACCAGCGTGCACCCATACAAATTGGAGATTATGTTTTGGAGATACCCACTGAGTGCAGAAGACAGAAAAACAATTCCTTTGTGGGAAGTACATGTTATGTTACATATTCTTACATAAGCAAAAATGGTTTTATCTGTCATAGTTTACACACACACACACGTACATGCACATATACACACGTGCTCTTGCACATACATATGTACACACTAAAAGTCCTGCTGATTCTTTATGACCAAATCCACTATTTGCAGGGAGCAGCGAATAACACATCCTACACTTTGGATGCAGTTCTTTTGACTTTTTGACTTGTTCTGTGATAAACTGCCTTTAATTGCTTAATTGAACTGCCTTAATTGCTTCATTAATTCTTTAATCAACTGCCTTTAATTACTTATAAAACTAGAACCATGTCTCTAGTTTTATAAGCAATAAAAAGATTAGAAGCAAGTAAAAGGAACTCTATGATCAGTAGTAAACTGTTGTACTTTATTCAGTGGTCATATGTTTTTCTCCAGGTATACAAGTACTTGAATGATGATTTCTCCAGTTATATGTTTCTTAAATAATGAATTAATTAAGAAATGGGGTCTCTCTATGTTGCCCAGGCTAGAATACAGTGTCTTTTCAGTGGTACAATTACAGCTCACTGTAGCCTTGAACATCTGGACTTATTCAGTCCTCCTACCTCCTCCTCCTGAGTAGCTGGGGCCATAGTCATGTGTGGTTACATCTAGCTGGATACATAATTATTGATTATCTGTTTATTTTTGAGACAATGTCTCCTCCCTCTGTTGCCAGTACTTGAGTGTAGTTGTGCAATCTTGGCTCCCTGCAACTTCTGCTTCCTGGACTTAAATGATCCTTTCACCTCAGTTTCCCAAGTAGCTGGGACTACAGGCATACACCACCATGCTTAGCTATTTTTCTTTTTAAGGTATGTATGTATGTATGTATGTATGTATATATGTATGTATTTTTTAGATGAGGTCTCACTATATTGCCCAGGCTGGTCTGGAACTTCTGAGCTCAAGTAATCCTTCTGCATCAGCCTCCCAAAATACTATGATTTTACAGGTGTGGGCTACTGCATCTGGCCTGCACAACTGTTAGACATTAAGCCCCAATTGAGTTGCAGGAAATTGACTACTCTTTCATTTTTTTTTTTTTTTTTAGGAACATTAATATTGTAGAACATACTGTCAATCATCAAGATTCTCTTTTATTCTGCTTAAACTAGGATTGCTGCTCATTTCACATTATTTTCTGAAATAATTGTTTTATTTATTCCTTTTATGGCTTTATTCAATTAGATACAGCAATACAAGAATCTCCAAGTCAAATATCAAGGAGAAATAATAAGCAGATTACAGAAAGTTATTCTGTGAAATAACCATCTGATGACAGTCACATATATCAACTTAATAAAAATTTTATATGATGCATTTGTGTCAAGGGTTTCCAAGACCACCCCAAGGTTTGGTGATTCACTAGATGGTCTCACAGGACTCAGAAAATAGTCATACTCAGATCTTTTTAAAATATATATATATATATTTTTTTATTGCGTGTTAGATTTTGGGGTACATGTGAAGAACATGCAAGATTGTTGCAGAGGTACATACATGGCAATGTGGTTTGCTGCCTTCCTTCTCATCACCTATATCTGGCATTTCTCCCTATGTTATCCCTCCCCAACTCCTGATCCCCCATTGTCCCTCCCCTAGTTCCCACCCCCTGCAGACCCCAGTGTGTGATGCTCCCTTCCCTCTGTCCATGTGTTCTCATTGTTCAACACCCGCCTATGAGTGAGAACATGTGGTGTTTGATTTTCTGTTCTTTTGTCAGTTTGCTGCAGATCTTTAATTTATTACAATGAAAAGGTACAGGCAAAATTAGAGGGGAAAGGTCCATGTGGTCAAGTCTGGAGGAAACTAGGCACAAGTTTCCAGGAGTTCTCTCCTGTGGGGTTCCCAGGATCTGCTTAATTCTCCCAGCCTCAAATTTTGGCAACACATGTGCAGTGATGTCTACCAGTACTAGGATGTCATTAGGGACTCAGTACCCAAGTGTTTTAAATGGAGGTTACTCTCCTTCACATGTACCCAAATTCCAGACTCCCAGAAGGAAAGCATCTGTTTAGAGTAACCACATTGTTTCTATAAACACTTTAGACACAGTGAGCCATTCTTCTCAGGGAATGGTGGGAACCCTCTCAATTTCAATTTCCTAAACACTCACAAAGGGGCCAGCCTTGCACACGACCTTTCTAAGGGTGTCAGTCTTTTGCCTGCTATATGAAATCTTTTCTGCACAAAAGTTTTAGCCCCAACTTAATTTTTGGTGTTGCTTTAAAATTTCATTTTAACAGCAAATAACATAAGGTAACTTGGTACTAGTTTCTGTTGTATGATCCATCCTTAGTTGCAATGCTGGTTACTTTTTTGAGTTTTGGTGACTAACAGTTATTTCTTTGTAAGTTACCATAGCAGTATTAGGTAATTACAGTCTGTCCTCCTTATCTCATTAGCCTTCCAGTAAAATTGTTAAATAAGCCTAATAATTTCTGAGTTAAAATTAGAAAAATGGTCTTTTATTACCTGAATAATCTAGTTTTCATATTGCGCTAAATCCATTTAGAATTGTGAAATAAGATAAAATATTTGATCATTTTATCAATATTTTCTTGCCTGAGCATGCAATTAAATTTATTTGTTTTACATATTTTATATACTTCAATTTGAGAAATAATGCCAACATGTTATTACTTTGGTCTTTAATGATCTCCAATTTGGGGGTCACCATGTCTTGCTTAAATATAACAGGTTAAATGAATAACTTTTATTTTTCATTTTATTTTTTGTTCTAGAAATCCTGGGATGCATAGACAATGAGTATCTTTTTTAGATCAATAATTTTATTTCTTAGAGCAGTTTTAGGTTCACAGCAAAATTGAAATGAAGGTACAGAGATTTCTAATTATTTTCCATGCCTCCCCACACATGCATGGTCTTTCCCACTATTAGTATTTTCCACCAAAGTGGTACGTTTGTTGCAACTGATGAACCTACATTGACACAATCATTCCAAGTTCATAGTTGGCATCAGGCTTCATTCTTAATACTGTACATTCTGTGAACGTGGACAAATGTATAATGACACGTATCTATTATTTTAATATTATAGACAGAACAGTTTCACTGCCCTAAAAATTCTCAATACTATGCCTGTTAATCTCTCCCTTTCTTCCTAGCAACTCCAACCACTGATCTTTTCTATCTTCATAGTTTTACTTTTTTCAGAAGAGTCATATAGTTGAAATAACACAGTGGATATATTTTTGACTAGTTAAAAAATTAAAGTTCTATACTAATTGAATGTGGTTACAATATACTTTGTCCTTTTGGTTTTTCTTTTTATCATAAGATCTGATGACATGTGCTTTACATATTTAGAAAACATGATTTGTGTAGATATTTGCCACATAATGGAAAGGGTTAAGGAAAATGACACCATGCATTACCACACAGCACAAACTGGAACATCTCGGTTTATGGGGTGGGTTCAAATAGCCTCTCTGTTCCTTGGAAGGGAACAAGTTCAAGAGGTTGTACTTTATAAAACTGGAATCACAAAGTCTTCCATATGTGCTTTCAGTTGGAAACAAGACCAGACGGTGAATGCTATAGGTAAATACCCATGCCCCTCACTGATCCTCTTCCTTTAAGGGATGAGTCTAAAAACAGTCTGTATTATGATGACATGACTTACCTATCACTAGATTCTCTGTCATGAGGGATGGCAAGGAAATCACACCGTTTTGCTTTATATGAGGTTAAAAAAAGATTTTCTTTTTTCTCCTACTAGAGAGAGGGGAAAGCACTGGCACATTCTGGTAGCAGGAGGGCATTGATAGTTTTCTTTCTGTATATTTTTCACATCAGATAGTACTGCCTGATGGCCGGGTGCAGTGGCTCAAGCCTGTAATCCCAGCACTTTGGGAGGCCGAGGCGGGTGGATCACGAGGTCAAGAGATCGAGACCATCCTGGTCAACATGGTGAAACCCCGTCTCTACCAAAAATACAAAAAATTAGCTGGGCATGGTGGTGCGTGCCTGTAATCCCAGCTACTCAGGAGGCTGAGGCAGGAGAATTGCCTGAACCCAGGAGGCGGAGGTTGCGGTGAGCCGAGATCGCGCCATTGCACTCCAGCCTGGGTAACATGAGTGAAACTCCGTCTCAAAAAAAAAAAAAAAGATAGTACTGCCTGGCAGCCTGCCACCCCTCCCCAGTGTTTCTTAAGCTTCTCTCTGAAGGTGAGGTGTGATTCAGAGTGGATAAGCTCTTAAAGGAGTGATCTTTCCAGTGGTTCTTTCTGTTGAAGGTAAAATGGCAGGTGAATTTGGGCCTTGTTATATGTAGAGCTGAGCATATAGCTACAGCTGAGTAAACCACCCAGCACCTTCCTCAGAAGAGTGTTAGAGTAACACACCAATCTCTCTTGAGCTCTTCTCCTCTGGCGGCTGGAAAGTTTTTGCAAGGATCCTTGTTCCTGGCCTGATTCCTATGTTTTGCTGGCTTCTGGTGTTAAGTCATTTTATCTTAGCCTGAACAGTTTTAACTGCAGAGCTAGGGAGGCTGTGTTGTGTTCAAAAAAATGAGTGCAGTAGTTTCCCCTTAAATGTAGGAGATACATCTTAAGACTCCCAGTAAATGCCTGAAACCACATATAGTACTGAATCACATACCATTTTTTTTACACATATGTATCTATGATAGTATTAATTTATAAATTAAACACAGTAAGAAATTAACAATAACTCATAATAAAATATATTGTTATGGTTCCTACCCTTTTTCCTGTGATGATGTGAAGTGATACAATGCCTGTGAAATGAGATGATGTGAGGTGAATGATGTAGGCATTGTAATGCAGTGTTAGGCCACTATGCACCCCTTGAATCTAAGTCAGAAAAACATGAGCTGTGAGTGACCCTGGATCTTCAGGCCTTAATGATGTTGATGGCTGGCAACAGAAGGAGGCCGTGTTGATGACTAATTGGTGAATAGCATATGCAGTGTGGAGTGATTTACTTAATCAGTGGTGCATATGTAATGAAGTTTTCATAAAGACCCAAAGGGACTGGGCTTAGAGAGCTTCTAGTTCGCTGAATACATGGAGGTTCCTGGAGGATGGTGTGTCCTGGGAGGGCATGGAATCTTTGTCCCACTTCCCCCACACTTTGCATCTCGTAATCTGTACCTTTTGTAATGTCATTCATAGCAAACTGGTAAATGTGTTTCCCTTAGTACTTTGAGCCATTCCAGCAATTCAATTTAACCCAAAGAAGGAGTCCTGGGAACCTCAATTGAACCCCACATTGAAGCCAGTTGGTCAGAAGTTCTGGAGTTTCAGACTTAAATCTGATGTAGGGAGGCAGTCTCATGGGACTGAGCCCTTTACCTGTGGAATCTGATGCTATCTGCAGACAGAGTATGAGAACCGAATTAGATGACACCCAGCTTGTGTCATCTGCAGAAATGATCGCTTGCTTATTGGTGGGGAAAAACCCTCCACACGTTTGATCATGGAAACCTTCTTAGTTGATGATTGTTTGTGTGGTGTGAGAGCAGAGAAAAACATGGCAAGTATGTCTTTTCCACATGTCGTGGATAAAGGAACTACGGTATACTCTGTTTTAACTGCCCTTCATATTTTGTTTCAGAAATCATGCTCTGACACTGGTCACTCATCCCACCTGTTCTGATAACAATACCATTTTCAGTAAATCTCATAGGGTTTGTCTAAGATGACTTGTATACTGCAGTTCACTTGTATATATCAAATTTTAATAAATTTATTTCTTGCATTGATAAATATAAAGCGAGGGAAGAAAGAGTTCTTACTGCATTAATTACACACCAATAGGTATAATCTGTATTAATTCTAATAAGGTCCCAGTTATGCTCCCAAATGAATGCTTTGTAACAAAGCATCAGTCCTACACTTTAAAGAAAAATGATCTAAATCATGTACACAACTGTGCATACTTTTTTTTTAATGAAGGTACAGTCTTGCTGTTTTCTAAACTGGTCTCAAGCTTCTGGATTTCTCAAGTGATCCTCCTCAGCCTCCCAAATAGCTGAAATTACAGGCATGCATCACTGTACTTTCTTATGGTTTTAATATTCTATACATTATTGATTTAAAATGCATTTTACCTTTCCCTTTAATAGATTCTGGAAGTTCTAATGAATCTGCAGTCAGATAGGATTTTACAGATTTAAAAAATCACGTTAACTAAGAAAATATAGATGGAGGAAACTAATATCTATTGAGTGTTGTATTCTGGGCTAAATACCCTATTATGTGCTATGCATTTATCTCATAAAGCCATCACAACATGTTTTCTTATAACCTACTGTTTATTAAATAGGCAACTGTGGTTTAAAGAGGTTGATTAATTGGATCATGATTCCATAGTTTACAAAGTAGCTGGCTCATAGTTTGACCATCAGCCTATCTGGCTTTCAAATCTTTTCTCTTGCTCCTCAGCACAGACTGACAGAGATCTGTGCAGCACTTTGATCAAGGTATAGGTCTGAATAAGATTAATCAGATTATTTTAATTAACATCTAAATTAATGAGTTTAAATACGTTAAACTCTCATTTTAGGTTACTGTTAGAAATGAGTTAGTCCTTGAGTTTGTCCTAATAAATGTGACAATTTTTGTGGTAACCAGCATCTTTTCTTTTTTTTTTTTAATTAACCATCAAAGCCTTTAGGGCAGAGTGAAGGTTTGGCCATAGGACTGGAAGTTTTACAAAACCAAGATTTGGCAAGTCTTGGAGAGAAATTATTTAACGTCCCAGTTTTGTTTTCCCTTTAGGCTAGTATTTCTTCCTACTTCCATAATGCTTTTTTATTTTTATTTTTTTCTTTTTCCATGACTTTTCTTCCTTGATGTTTCTTTTGTTACGTTTTCAAATTCTGCTGGCTATGTGTTCCCAATTTTCCTATAGACAGAACCAAAAGCACACAGAATTACAGAAATTTAAGGAATCTTAGAACTAATTAAAATATCTTCTAGTACTTCAATCTGTGTTGAACGTTCTGGTCAAGTGATTTTCTAGATAGAGAACATGAGACTCAAAGAGATTAGGATGCCTTTTTCTGGACATACGAAGTGGTAGAAATGAGATCTGAACTCGTTTTAAAGCCCAATACTCTTCCTTCTTTTTTAATTCTGTTGGCATGTTTTTTTGCTATTGTTTTTTGTTTTTGTTTTTGTTTTTGAGACAGAGTATCGCTCCTGTTGGCAGACTGGAGTGCAATAGCACAATCTTGGCCCACCGCAAACTTCACCCTCACGGGTTCAAGCGATTCTCCTGCCTCAGCCTCCTATCTGGGATTACAAGCATGAGCCACCATGCCTGGATAATTTTGAATTTTTAGTAGAGACGGGGTTTCTCCATGTTGGTCAGGCTGGTCTCAAACTCCTGACCTCAGGTGATCTGCCTGCCTCAGCTTCCCAAAGTGCTGGGATTACAGGTGTGAGCCACCACACCTGGCCTGGCCTGTGTTTTAATAATACAAAGGTGGAGTGAGTCTGGTGCACCCAGTGGATAGAATGAAAATGGAATTAGCTGGTGAACCCAATGGAAATGGCTAAGAATGGAAAGAGCCAGGGAAGAACAAGTTTGAAGAGAAATGACACTGGATACAGATTATTCAATAAGGGATTAGAATACTGGGGTTTATGATAAGTCCGATAAATTATAAAGATGAAGGACACAAGATATTGAGAATTATCTACAAAGGCACATTAAAATAGAGGGTTCAAGGAAGCTCTAAACAGATTGCTGTGCTCTTTTTAAATCAAGAACTGGCAAACCTGAACATTTTTGCTGTAAGATGCTAAAACATTTGGAGACACTGGAAGGAGTCTCTACAGCAGACAGAAATGTCGTATCATCTAATTCCATCCTGGGTAGTTGGAGGTGTGTCTGTTCTGGTAGTTAGTAGAGACTCCAGTTAGGCTGTTATTCAGGAGCAGGGATATAGAGCGCTCCCACTCCTGGTCATTTGAGGCCATCCTTTCAGGAACCTGTGCTTTCATAGGCTGAAGATTTGAAGATTGGAAACTGCCATGGAGCCCTGCATAAGTGGTATCTTGAAGTGGGAACCCAAAGGAAGAAAGATGTTTAGATAGTGCTTAGGGACATAGAGGTACAACTGCCAGGACTCTGTTTTTCCAGCAGTCTCTTTCGTTGGCTATTTGAGTGCCTATGAGATTTTTAAGGGCTTACTAGTTTATGTGGACCTGAATAAAGTAGGACCTATAGAGTGAAAATAATTGGATTTTTGTAATTTTTAATGTTTTAATCTTTCTGGGAAGTGTCCTCAATAAGAAAATATACCTTTGTTATTAGACTTGTACATTTAGCTCTCAAACATTTCAAATATAGCAGGGATTCTCTGTATTCTTTTAGGACAAAGGAAAGCATTGGGACCTTGTTAAGTGGGTTTCATGCTGAGGAATCAAGACTGCCATTTTGAAGTGACACAGATTAGTCTTTTAACCATAGATAGATAATGGACGACAGACAGTGGATCTTTCTACCTTGTTTTAGGTCATAAGGTTCCTTCCAGTTTAGGTGACAAAAGTTATGTCATCCATTAATTGAATTTCATGTTCTGCTTCAGGACAGATAATTTGTGAGGGTAAATTATTGTCAAGCTCTGCCAATATATTGGCTGTCACTATTTGTTATGGAGCTCAAGGTCAGTTTTCATTGAATATTTTATAGATTTACTGGAGGCAGAAATAGGTAACCAAAATCCATTTTTAGAACAGAGGCCCTATTTTAATTGTATCAAGAAATGTTATTTAATATACAGATGGCTGACCTTTTCCCAGATTGTGTTTTTGTTTTTTGGTGGGGGAAGCTGAATATGAACTGGCAGGGAAAAAATATGTTAAAAAAAATCAACTTGCTGATTTTTATTGTATATTTTTGCTCTAAAGCATTTTCCACGAACTGTGTGTGGATTCATGCCTAAACCAGATGATGACGACCTGACTGTTACTACCAAGGTAAAGTGGTCTCTTGTAAAATTTTCTCACTCAGTCAACTTTTGCATAGTATTTACTTTAAAAATTTAGCAATGGTTTACCTATTGTTGTTTTATGATGCTTATGGAAAGTTGGTCAGAGAAAACCATAGACATGGCTAGTTGATTAAAAAATTTTATTTAACATTGGTAACTAACAAAAGACTGCTAAGTTGTGACAGGGTGGGGGCTGAACAAAAATGGACTGGAAAATACATAGCAACAGAAAAATCACATTAGGAAATGCTTTCTCCAATAGAGAAAATATGCAATTTGGTTAAGGTTTAATTAGATAAATATTAATAATTTGGCTTTTAAATCATACTAGTGTCACATCTGTATTTTTGCCAGTATAAATCTTCAGCAGATCAAATTACTTGTGGTAATCATGGAATCTCCCTGGCATCTTTTAGTTGAAAAACTGTACAACAAATAGCACATAGCTGTTTTTCTTGGACACTTACTATTTGGGTATTATATACTTGGTTGGAGAGATTGTTTCTCTGCTTATATTATTGGTTCTGTAGTGAGACTAAAATATTAAAAATTGTAGGAAAAAAATAGCTGGGTGTGGTGATACACACCTACAGTCCCAGCTACCTGGGAGTTTGAGAACCACCTGGGCAGCATAACAAGACTGCATCTATTTATATTTAAAAATTATACTAAGTTCTGGGGTACATATGCAGAAGGTGCAGTTTTGTTACATAGGTATACATGTGCTATGGTGGTTTGCTATATCCATCCCTGTCACCTACATTAGGTATTTCTCCTGTTATCCCTCCACCGCCTGCTATCCCTCCCTTACTCCCCTCTACTCTTGACAGGCCCTGGTGTGTGATGTTCCCCTCCCTGTGTCCCTGTGTTCTTATTGTTCAACACCCACTTATGAGTAAGAACATGCTGTGTTTGGTTTTCTGTTCTTGTGTCAGTTTTCTGAGAATGATGGTTTCCAGTTTCATCCATGTCCCTGCAAAGGACATGAACTCATCATTTTTTATGGCTGCATAGTATTCCGTGGTGTATATGTACCACAATTTCTTTATCCAGTCTATCTTTGATGGGCATTTGGGTTGGTTCCAAGTCTTTACTATTGTAAACAGTGCCACGATAAGCACGTGTGTGCATGTATCTTTACAAAAGAACGATTTATAATCCTTTGGGTATATCCCAGTACTGGGATAGCTGGGTCAAATGGTATTTCTAGTTCCATATCCTTGAGAAATTGCCAGTGTCTTCCACAGTGGCTGAACTAATTTACACTCCTGCCAACAGTGTAAATGCATTCCTATTTCTCCCCATCCTCTCCAGCATGTTACCTCCTGATTTTTTTAATGATCGCCATTCTAACTGGCATGAGATGATATCTCAATGTGATTTTGATTTTCATTTCTCTAATGAGCAGTGATGATGAGCTTTTTTTCATGTTTGTTGGCTGCAAAAACATCTTCCTTTGAGAAGCATCTGTTCATATCCTTTGCCCACTTTTTGATGAGGTTTTCTTGTAAATTTGTTTAATTTCTTTCTAGATTCTTGGATATTAGCCCTTTGTTAGATGGGTAGACTAGCAAAAGTTTTTTCCCGTTCTGTTGGTTGCTGGTTCACTCTAATGATTGTTTCCTTTGCTGTGCAGAAGCTCTTAAGTTTAATTAGATCCCACTTGCCTATTTTGGCTTTTGTTGCCATTGCTTTTGGTGTTTTAGTCATGAAGTTCTTGCTTATGCCTATGTCCTGAATGTTTGTTACTGCCTAGGTTTTCTTCTAGGGTTTTTATGGTGCTAGGTCTTATGTTTAAATCTTTAATCCATCTGGAGTTAATCTGTGTATAAGGCGTAAGGAAGGGATGCAGTTTCAGCTTTCTGCAGATGGCTAGCCAGTTTTCCCAACACCACTTATTAAATAGGGAATCCTTTCCCCATTGCTTGTTTTTGTCAAGTGTGTCAAAGATCAGATGGTTGTAGATGTATGGCATTACTTCTAAGGCCTCTCTTCTATTCCATTGGTCTATATCTCTGTTTTGGTAACAGAACCATGCTGTTTTGATTACTGTAGCCTTGTAATATAGTTTAAAGTCAGGTAGCATGATGCCTCTGGCTTCTTGTTGTTTTGCTTAAGATTGTCTTGGCTATGCGGGCTGTCTTGGTTATATACGAAGTTTAAGGTAGTTTTTACCAATTTTGTGAAGAAAGTCAATGGTAGCTTGATGGGGTAGCATTAAATGTATAAATTATTTTGGGAAGTATGGCCATTTTCACAATATTGATTCTACCCAACCATGAGCATGGAATGTTTTTCCATCTGTTTGTTTCCTCTCTTACTTCCTTGAGCAATGGTTTGTAATTCTCCTTCAAGAGGTCTGTTAGATGTATTCCTAGATATTTTACTCTCTTTATAGCAATTGTGAATGGCAGTTGACTCATGATTTGGCTATCTATCTGTTATATGTGTACAGGAATGCTTGTGACTTTTGCACATTGTGTATTCTTAGACTTTGCTGCATTTGCTTATCAGCTTAAAAAGATTTTGGGCTGGCCGGGCGCGGTGGCTCAAGCCTGTAATCCCAGCACTTTGGGAGGCCGAGGCGGGTGGATCACGAGGTCAAGAGATCGAGACCATCCTGGTCAACATGGTGAAACCCCGTCTCTACTAAAAATACAAAAAATTAGCTGGGCATGGTGGTGCGTGCCTGTAATCCCAGCTACTCAGGAGGCTGAGGCAGGAGAATTGCCTGAACCCAGGAGGCGGAGGTTGCGGTGAGCCAAGATCGCGCCATTGCACTCCAGCCTGGGTAACAAGAGCGAAACTCCGTCCCAAAAAAAAAAAAAAAAAAAAAAAAAAAAAAAAAGATTTTGGGCTGAGAAGATGGGGTCTTCTAAATATACAATGTCATCTGCAAATAGAGACAATTTGACTTCCTCTTTTCCTATTTGAATACCCTTTATTTCTTTTTCTTGCCTGATTTCCCTGACCAGAACTTCCAATAGTATGTTGAGTAGGAGTGGTGAGAGAAGGCATCCTTTTCCTATACCGGTTTTCAAGGGGAGTGCTTCCAGTTTTTGCCCATACACTATGTTATTGTCTGTGGGTTTGTCATAAATAGCTCTTATTTTGAGATACATCCCATCAATACCTCGTTTCTTGAGAGTTTTCAGCATAAAGGGCTGTTGAATTTTGTCGAAGGTGTTCTCTGCATCTATTGAGATAATCATGTGGTTTTTGTCTTGGTTCTGTTTATGTGATGGATTATGTTTATAGATTTGCATATGTTGAACCAGCCTTGCATTTCAGGGATGAAGCTAACTTGGAATATGATGGAGCTTCTTGATGTGCTGTTGGGTTCAGTTTGCCAATATTTTATTGAGGATTTTCCCATTAATGTTCATCATGGATATAGGCCTGAAATTTTCTTTTTTAGTTGTGTCTCTGCTAGGTTTTGTTATCAGGATGATGTTGGTTTCATAAAATGAATTAGGTAGGATTCCCTTTTTTCGTATTGTTTTGAATAGTTTCAGAAGGAATGGTACCAGCTCCTCTTTTTACCTATGGTAAAATTTGGCTGTGAACCCGTCTGGTCCTGGACTTTTGTTTGGTAGGCTATTAATTGCTGCCTCAATTTCAGACCTTGTTGTTATTGGTTTATTCAGGGATTTAACTTCTTCCCGGTTTAGTCTTGGAGGGTGTACATGTCCAGGAATTTATCCGTATCGTCTAGATTTACTGGTTTATTTGCAAGAGGTATTGGTAGTAATCTCTGATGGCAGTTTGTATTCCTATGAGATCAGTGGTGATATCCCCTTTATCACTTTTTATTGCATCTATTATTCTCTGTTTTCTTTTTTATTAGTCTGGCTAGTGGTCTATTTTGTTGATCTTTTCAAAAAAAACCACTTCCTGGATTCACTGATTTTTTTTTTTTTTTTAAGGGTTTTATGTGTCTCTATCTCCTTCAGTTCTGCTCTGAACTTAGTTATTTCTTGTCTTCTGCTAGCTTTTGAGTTTGTTTGATCTTGCTCCTGTAGTTCTTTTAATTATGACAATACAGTGGATCTAAAAGGAAGTGTCCCAGCCTCACTCCCCTGCTACCACTTTTCATGGTTTGTTTTTCTTTATCTGGTTGCTTATTTTTTACCTATGTTAAAAATTCCATTCCCTATTTTAAAAAAAAAACATAATCACATTTATTTTTAAAAATAACCTTTGGATCACTACCATAAAAGAATTATTAACACTTGCCCAAAATAGATGATCTTTTAAAAAAATAAATAGGAGCTTGAAACCCGCTCTCCTTGTTACAAACAGAGGCTAGCGGCTGTTAGGTACCGAAAGCAGGCTAGGACACAAATGAGACTTTCTCAGGGACATAATCATAAGGACTAAATGAGAAATGAAAAACAGACCAGGTGCAATGGCTCACACTTGTAATTCCAGCATTTTGGGAGGCCAAGGAGGGAAGATGAGCCCAGGCCTGGCCAACATGGTGAAATCCTACCTCTATTAAAAAGACAAAAATTAGCTAGGCGTGGTAGTGAGTGTCTGTAATCCAAGCTACATGGGAGGCTGAGGCAGGAAAATTTCTTGAACCTGGGAGGTGGAGGTTGTAGTGAGCCAAGATCACACCACTGCACTCCAGACTTGGTGACAGAGACTCTGTCTCAAGAAATAAACATTCATCTGTCATTGAATGTGTCTACACACAACCTGAAACCATTTCAGGCACAACTGAACCCCACATTGCAGAAAACCCTGAATTAAAGCATTCAGGTTGCCTAGAGCTAATGAGAGCCCCTAAACTGCTCAAGTTGATGGGGCAGTCAGTAGAGCAGAGACTACAAGCACCAACCCTGGAGTCTGCTAGGGTTCAAATCTCAGTTCTGTTGCTTAACAGCAGTGACCTTGGGTAAGTCACTAAACCTCTCTGTCCTCAGTTTCTGGTGCAGTAAATAGTATCTTTACAGGTGTACTGTAGACAAGGCACTTTGCACAGTGGGTGCTCTGTAAGCTGCAGCCATCATCATCACTGAAGAAGCAAATCTCACCTGCCCTGTCTGTGCCTTGTCAGCCTCCATCAGCTTCCAAGTCTCCTCCTTCTTGGCTTCAGCTTTCTGCAGCTCTGCGGTGCTACTGTGGTGCCTGCTGATGTCCCCCTACAAGAGGAGGAGCTGCTGAGCTGTCTGGAGAAGTAAAGCACAGGGATGTCAACCACACAGGCACGTATGTAAACATATATATCAACATGTGCAACCCCCACCACCATGTCATTCCGCAGGGTTATAGGTCCCCAGAAAAAGGGAATGCCCCAGGCAGGAATGAGGCCTGTGGAAAACACAATCTGTGATGATCTCTGGGGGTCTGCAAAAAGCCCATGAACACTGATAATGTGCAAAAAGTACGTGCTTTTTTAAGATCAATTCTAATTGATCACAAATAAAAGATAAAGGGCACATCTTAGATCACCTTTCAAACATGAAAATGTTTCGAAATATGAAACATGATGAAAAAATAAGGCAAAGTACCTAGTTCGTTCAATTTTCTTGTTTTACAAAGGTGGTGGGGGTTGGGGTGGGATCTTGCCCTGGCTGCTCCTTCATGCAAGCATGTTACTCAGAAAGTACTTTTTGGCTGGGTGCAGTGGCTGACACCTGTAAACCTAGCACTTTGGGGAGGCCAAGGTGGGCAGATCACTGGTGGCCAGGAGTTCAAGAACAGCCCGGCCAAAACGGTGAAATCCTGTCTCTACTAAAAATACAAAAATTAGGCAGGCATGGTGGCAGGCACCTGTAGTCCCAACTACTAGGGAGGTTGAGGCAGAAGAATCGCTTGAATACAAAAGGCAGAAGTTGCAGTGAGCCAAGATTGTGTCACTGCACTCCAGCCTCAGTGACAGAGTGAGACCCTGTCTCAAAAGAAAAAAAAAAAAGACTTTCTGTACATCAGTGGTCATTATCTTTATGCAGACCCCAGAGAACATCACAGACTGCGCTGCCCAAGTTTTGTGTTCAGTGGCTGAGTTGGTGCCACTGCACACTGAACTCCAGCCTGCG